ATAATGCTACAGCGTATGCTGTAGCATTATGTCGGCATGCAGTCCTGGGCGTTCATCTTACCGAAAAACGAGTTCACATCGCCGAGGTGAAAGCATTAGTTGCTAGCATTTGGTGCTACGGCGCAGCGGCGAACTCCAAGAATCGTTATGGGTCGTACTCGTAGGGGCGACTTCGGCAGCGGCGCGTATGCGGTGGCATCATCTCGGCGTGCAGTCCTGGGCGTTCATCTTACCGAAAAACGAGTCCACATTGCTAAGTTGAAAGCATTCGAGTCATCTAGGCACGCGCGTGAAACGAAGGGTTTGCAGCGGCGCAGCGGAACGCGCGTCTCACCCACCAGCGTAGTGGCGGACGCCATCTTGACGAGACGAAAACGCGCTCAAATGCGTTCAAACGGCGCGGAAGTGACGTCATGTCACGTGACATTTTGAAAACCAATGAAATGGCCGCTTTTGCGTCGCGCCGAAGGGGGCGTGGCCAGGCACTGTACGGGATATGGTTTGCTAATACGCCTCCGGGCGAGCGTAGCGCATGACGTCAGCAACGCTGCCTCTCGGCGCTCAGCAGTGTCCACGTGATTGGCGTAACGCGCCTGCGCAGCGCGTTTCTTGGGAGCCGTCCGGCCGCCCGCCGTGGTCCCGCCGTTACCGCCGTCTTTCGCGTCACAACCGCCGTCCTCGTCTCACCGATTGTGATTATTGTCTCTCGGAGTTTCGTCCACACTACGGACACCACGTGCGCGCACACTTATGCCGCAGTTGTGCAGATGTCGTCGAATGCCGTAGACCCCAAAACGTGGCGAAGAGTGCGGGGCAGACGACACTCGCGCCTGCCACACGCCCGCCCCAATCCCGCCCGTCGTTGGGCCGAGGATCACGTGACATCTCGTACCACGTGATGGTCATGTACTTGGCGACCCGAGGCCAATGTTGCCGGGCGGAGCCGAAGTTTCGGTTTCGATTTCCGCTCGTGTTTAAAATCCGATTTAAAAATATATATCCCATTTTTCGCGAAGCAAACGACGTAGTGTGTTTTACTAGGGCTTTTTAATTCGAAATCAATCATTATCTCGAAATCTCCGGAATTTAGCGGAGTTGCCCTTTCACGTGTTTGCACAGGTTGGCAAGCTGATTAGGAGCAGAGAAGACGCCGTCGATGTGTAACTTATTAGCGATTTTTTTTATGCCTTGAGAGAACCTGTGTATGTGGGGAAGAACGACTGGTCTCGTGGTTCTATCTCTGGCTCTTGGTGTGACAGATGTTCTTTTATTTTTGGTTTTCAGTATGCTCTCTGCAATCGATGTTAATAAAGAGATGGGAAATCCGGCCGATGTTAATCTTGATATTTGCGCATCAAAGCTTACTGAAATGGAGTGCTCGCAAGATTAGTGCGCGTGATTCGGGAAATTCGGTAGTTCCAGACGTAGAAGAAGACAAAGTATTTACGCCTCGCAAGTGGGCTCATTTTCGTCCTCTGCGCATGAGAAAGGAAGTAGCGGTGACGTCAAAACGCCGAGCCCCGATTGGCTGATCGTGACCCCCTATCTGACCGTCGTCTGCTCCTTCGCAACGTCGTCTGCTCGCAACGTCGTCTGCGCCTGTCTTACCTTTCCTGCGACTTTCGGAAGTGCAGGTCTTTACGAGCGAGCTCGACTTCGCCCTTCAGAGAGGGCAGACGAAATAACTCGAGCGGTACGTTGTTTTTGTCTAACAGTTATCAGACGCGCATCAAGGAGAGAAGTCAAAGGACTCACTGGCGAGGTGTCCCGAGGCGCCGAGGTTTGTTTGCTAAGAACCGAGAGGTGAGCGTCCCGCAAGTTCCCTCCCAAATACTTTTTCCCTCCATTCGTGTGCGGCGAGACTCCTCACTCTTTAACGGCGTCGGCAGGTTGGCGCAGTTAACGTCGTCTGCTTTACGTCTGCTAGTCAAGGCGATGGCTGCTTTACCTTTCCTGCGTCTTTCGGAGATTCACCGCTTTTTCACCGGTAAGAGTCACCGCTGCCTCGGAAAACAAGGAGATAATAAGAGGAAGAGATTGACCTCTTAATCTAAAATTGAGGTCAGCGATCAAAGTATAATACGTGAAGGGTTCACAAGGGTCGCGCGGGCACATTCCATTTAGCGCGCCAGCCGGTCGTGGGCAAACGGTATGCGGAGGGCAAGTTCGTCTGCTTCTTGCGCAGGGGGTAGCGGTGACGTCAGAACGCCGAGCCCTGATTGGCTGATCGCGCCCCCCTATCTGAGCGTCGTCTGCTCCTTTGAAACGTCGTCTGCTCGCAACGTCGTCTGCGTCTGTCTTACCTTTCCTGCGACTTTCGGAAGCGCAGAGGCCAGATTCAAGAAACGATCTTACGCCAAAAATGTGCGTAGGACAAAACTTAAGAACAAATTCGTATTCACGAAACGAAATTTTCGTAAGTTTTGCGCAGGTTACGACGAAATCCTACGGCAGCTCCGAAGCTGTCTTACGCACTTCTTACGATCAAATCAGCATGGCCGACAGCGTCGCGGTCGCGACGACCCGCGGACGTTTATTTGTCTACCTGCGCTTCCGACGCGTCCCGACTTCAAGCAGCGAGAAAAAATTAAGAAGTACTGGAAACAGACCACGACGAACAAGAACGCTGGATTCACAAACACCCGGGAAAAGCTCCAACGGCCTCGATTCCACCGAACGCGACCAAACGAGCTGGGCAGTTAGGCCTTAAAGATTAAAACAGCGCAAGGACACGGACAAGAACAAGACTTTAATCAGTTAGGCCTAGCAGGCGCTCCGCGACTCGGCGACCGTCTGCCCACGACCAGCTGGCGTGCTGAATGGAATATGCCCGTGCGACCCTTGTGAACCCTTCCCGTGTTATACTTTGATCGCTGACCTCAGTTTTAGATTAAGAGGTCAATTTCTTCCTCTTGTTATCTCCTTGTTTCCCGAGGCAACGATGACTCGCCGGTGAAAAAGCGGTGAATCTCCGACAGACGCAGGAAAGGTAAAGCAGCCATCGCTTTGACTAGCAGACGTAAAGCAGACGACGTTAACTGCGCCAACCCGCCGACGCCGTTAAAGAGTGAGGTGTCTCGCCGCACACGAATGGAGGGAAAAAGTATTTGGGAGGGAACTTGCGGACACTAACGCGCTCACTCTCGGTTCTAAGCAAACAAACCTCGGCGCCCCAGGACACCTCGCCAGTGAGTCCTTTGACTTCCCTCCTTGATGTGCGTCTGCTAGTTTTAGACAAAAACAACGTACCGCTCTAGTTATTTCGTCTGCCCTCTCTTAAAGGCGAAGTCGAGTTCGCTCCGAAAGTCGCAGGAAAGGTAAGACAGGCGCAGACGACGTTGCGAGCAGACGACGTTGCAAAGGAGCAGACGACGCTGAGATAGGGGGTCGCGATCAGCCAATCAGGGCTCGGCGTTCTGACGTCACCGCTACTTCCTTTCTCATGCGCAGAAGACGAAAATGAGCCCACTTGCGAGGCGGATTGGCCGAGGACCATCGGAGCACCGCTGCGCCGAGTCGGAGTGCCTGCTAGGCCTATCTGCCGAGCTCGCTTGGTCGGGGTCAGTGGAATCGTGGCCGTTGGAGCATTTCCCGGGTATCTGTGGATCCAGCGTTCTTGTTCGTTGTGGTTTATTTAAAGTACTATTTACTTTTTAGAGCACAGCTCTTAGGCGCCCGTTTCCGGCTTGAGCGGCGTCGGCGTCGCCGTCGGCGTAACCGCGCGGTGCATTATGGGTAAATTTCCCCGCTAAATCTAGCGGAAAAATTTCCCCGCTAAATCTAGCGGAAAAATTTCCCCACTAAATTTAGCGGAAAATTTTCCCCGCTAAATCTAGCGGAAAAATTTCCCCACTAAATCTAGCGGAAAAATTTCCCCGTAAAATCTAGCGGAAAAATTTCCCCGCTAAATCTAGCGGAAAAAATTTCCCGCTAAATCTAGCGGAAAATATTTCCCGCTAAATCTAGTGGAAAAACGTCCCCGCTAAATCTAGCGGAAAAATTTCCCCTCTAAATCTAGCAGAATAATTTTCCCGCTAAATCTAGCGGAAAAATTTCCCCGCTAAATCTAGCGAAAACATTTCCCCGCTAAATCTAGCGGAAAAATTTCCCCGCTATATCTAGCGGAAAAATTTCCCCGCTAATTCTAGCGGAAAATTTTCCCCGCTAAATCTAGCGGAAAAATTTCCCCGTTAAATCTAGCGGAAAAATTTCTCTTGAGGTCAGGTCCCCCGAGGTCACGTGACACCCCGAGGTCACGTGACCTTGGCGAAGGGGTCATGTGACCCCTCCAAGGTCACGTGACCACCCCTCCCCCCCCCGATAACATGTGAACCTCAGTACCCTTCCCTCCTCCTCCTCAAGAGCTGCGCTCTAATTCGGCGTCACAGGGAGTTGTAAACGGCTTTCATTTTTTTCTTGCTGCTTGTAGTCGGGACGCGTGAGAAGAGCACGTACAAAAAGAAACGTCCGTTGGTCGTCAGGACCAAGTAACTGAGCGACGCTGTCGGCCATGCTGATTTGATCGTAAGAAGTGCGTAAGCCAGCTTCAGAGCTGTCCTAGGATTCCGTCATAACCTGCGCAAAACTTACGATAACTTGGTTTCGTGAATGCGAATTTGTTCTCAAGTTTTGTCTTACGCACATTTTGGGATGTCGCAAGGTAAGCCCATTGGCGCAGTTTGGAGCAGCAATCACACCTGTTACCCAAAGTAAAAATATCTACATCGTAAACCCCCCCCCCAAAAAAAAAAAGTATATATATATATTTTTTTTTTAAGTTTCGAGTTATGTTACTGAAGTTTCACAATTGCTCATATGTTTTTACACATTATTTCTCTGGAAAAATTATGTCATGGTATTTTCAAAGGTCAATAAAAGAAAGACAATTTGCCACTTTCTCCAAGCTGAGATTTTATGCGGCAGTCTTTACACCGAGAGATTCGATCGTTTGGGTCTTTAAAATTAGCATCCAGTTTGAGGAGTCGTGGCTTCAGTTCTGCAGGATTTGCATAATTACTTTTTTATTGTCAAAATGCATGATTCAAGCTTTATGTACAGTATAAAAAGCATACATTCTACACACCAGACTACAGGCATATACATGCACACACACTGAGATGTTCATGCATATTATATGATTGCCTAACAAAGATATGTCAATAAGAGAAAGCATTTGAATATGCGTGCCTGCTCCAAAATGCCAAGGAAACCGGCAACTTTGTGAAAGCGCCAATGTTTTCACACCCCGCATTTTGAAGCAGCATTAAATACTGGCATTGTAAAGATCATTGAAAGAAAAAAAAATCTGCATGGTTTTTGTGGCATGCATACTTTGACATAATGTAAGCAGTCTTAAGGCTTTATACAATACACACAAAAGCTGTTTTTTTCTTTCGATAAAAACTTTACCCAACGAGTAGCTGACAATAAATAGACATTTGTGTTGCCAAGAGAAAAAAAATTTTCACCTACAAGTTTTGAAAACTTCTTTCACCGTGCTCAAACCGAAATAATAAATGCCCCGCCTTTCAGGCCCGTAAAAATATTCAGTGATGTGGTCATCACAACACCTGCAACCGATTCAGAGATATATAATACAGGGTGCCTCCGAAAAAAGAGAACCGTGTTTTTCAGCCGAGGTAAACAAACTATGCACTGCAGAAAGCTCCAAATCAGTGAAATTGTGACACAAGCAGATGGGTGAGAACGCGAAAGTTTAAGAAAATGACGTTACCTCGATCAAAAGATAATTGAGGAAAAGCTGAAATTTTCTATGAGCAGACAGCGACCTAAGCCTAACATCATTAAAACAAGAACTGGCATCCTGGGTGCTAGTGAGAATTATATTAGTGAAAAACACTCATTAGCAAGAAAGAGGATATTGTTTGCTTTCTTGCTGTCAAGTTTTTTTCTCAGTGAAATAGACAATACAAGCGATCCACAATGTAATTTCCTGTTTTGATGATGTTAGGCTTAGGTGGCTGTCTGCTCATAGCTAAATTTAGTTTTTCCTCAATTATCTTTTTATGCAGGTAATGTCATGTTCTCAAACTTTCGCGTTTTATTCCAACTGCTTGCGTCAGATTCTCATGGAGTTTGAGCTTCCTGCAATGCATAGTTTATTTATCCGGGCCAAAAGACTCGGTTCTCTTTTCTCAGGAACTCCCTGTACTATTATAGTCACTGGACGGACAAGAAAGTCAGCAAGGAGTGTCAGTTGCCCCACCTCCAGCTCGAGGTTCCTACCTTGGATAACACTTTGGCGTCTCTGAAACACGGCAAAAAGTAATGAGCACATGCTAGCTAGAGGCCAGGCATTCGAAAAAAACACCCCGCTCTTCTCACCCTGTGACTAAAACAAGCAACAACAAGATTCGTTGCATGGAGATTTTCAACTGGAAAGCCAAAAGCAGATACAATCGCAAGCTATACTATTATCGTAAAAACAAGACGCCGAAAAACGAACCTAGGGAAGTCCGGCTTGCGGAACCCCCTCAAAGTCACCAGAGGGTATACGAAAACATGAAAACCGTGACTAGCCCTGTCGGACAGAGTGTGAAGGCGAGGACACTGGGAGCGAGTTCTGTACAGAAGGGCGGTCTTCCGTCGTGGTAAGGCGCGTCGAGCGGCTGGTGGAAGATGAGTGGATGGAATAAATTACATTAGTGTCAGAATGAGCTGGTACCTCGGCGTCCCCACCGCATCCTCAACACTATAGACTTTCTTGGCGATGCCACCGAGTGAACACGCAGAGAATGGACACGAGATAGCCTCTAGATTGCAGTACCAAACTTTCAAGCGGCTTCGTAGACAAAGTGACGGGAATGTTGACACAGCATAAGACATTCAGCATGGTTCTCTAACAGCCACTGTTTCGACGTTTAAATTTGAACCCATGAATCGCGTGAGCTTGGACTTGCTCTTTGAGAAAGGTATTTTTCACCACCTCTTACACAAGCGTGCTACATTAAAATCCAAGAAATGACTCAGGATTACTTCAGCGGACAAGCTAGACTTTTCAGGAGACATTCTCTTTATCGCTTTGCGTCCATGCAGAGTGGTCAGTACGATGAGAACATGAAATACCGCAAAGGTACTATGGATGTTAGTTTTTCGGAGAACATCGGAAACATTCAGTGTTCATGAAAGCTTGTAAACCCCTTCTAAAGACACTTTTGAGAGTCTCTAAATATCTGCAACTTAAATATGCACAAACTCACGAGTAATAAACAAGCCTTGCAGCATGTAGAGTGCAGTAGAAATGTTGCCAAGGATTGCATAGTTGCTCACTCCATAGCCACCCCTAATTTCAAAAGGACTGTTTGGTGGACAAACAAAGACAAATGTAATTGTCAGATATTATCCTCCTGTAACACCAATCAGTGCTGTTGGAACTACTGTCGAGAACGGTTATAACGAAGTCAACGGGAATCGGAAATCACTTCGCTATATCCACTATTTCGTTATAACCGACCTCGGTTCGAACGAAGTTCAAAAGAGAATGGGATATCGTGATTACTTCGCTGTAGCCGCTATTTCGTTATAACCGACTTCATTATAACTGGTCTTGACAGTAGCCATAAAAAAAAGCACAAAAAATGGTGTTGACAAGAACTTAACATATACTACCTTTCATAAGCCAATCTGCACTTGCACCTTGGCACATCAAAGCTATATGAAACCTGCAGTGTCTTGGAGCTTACAGGAAAAATGGATGGTATGTGTATATGTACTAGTCCTTTTGTTGCAACAGAAATTCGAAGTTCGTAGAGAACCAAAAATCATCCCCAGTTACGACCTACATAAGGCATCGTCACCCACTTCGAATCTCCCCACTTACGGTTTACAACTCGCTAGATTTTTGCACTGCCGACAAGCAGATAAAAATGGTCTGTAAAAGTGAGTAAAAAGTCAAAAAGTGATGTAAAAATGGCAGCAGAAGGTTCTTTGTTGTGTATTATGACTCAATATGACTCTTGGCTGTAAAACTCCACTAATGATAAAAGCATCAATTCAGTTGGACAGTTCCATAGACACTTTTCCTCTGAAAACTTTTCATTCTGCTCGGTTGACAAGACATTAGAGTTCCAATGAAAGGAAGGTGACAAGGGCCATTCCCAACAAAACCGTTTGCTTAGCAAAGATTGTGTTTATAAAAAGTTCAAAACGTGAAAATGTCTTATAAAAATTAGCGTGTCTGAATCCGCAAAGAGACCGCAGTGTCTGCTGTCTGTAAACAGCATTAAAATGGCCATGATGCCACAACGGTAGTGCTGTGGCACTTCCAATGTTACCACCCGACCGACCAGAAAAACCCCTGTGGAGCATGCTGTGCGGTGTACAAGAGCACTTAGAGCGAGAACTTGCCTGAAACACTACCAGCGCAACTACATGATTTCACAGAGGATTCCCAAAAGTTTCCTTGCATACTTCAAGCAGGAGTCTGTAGTTGTGCCACAAACAGATGGTTCTGTCGTCGGTAGCTTCAACATTACTTTACCAGACGGTTTACAATGACACTAATGTGTGATCCCACTCGGAACGTTGTTCAGCTGCAACATACGCACTGCCTGAACACAAAACAAAATGTATTTACTTCGGTGTTCACCATCAAACCCAAGCCATACGGATAGGACAATGATGGTATTTTCATCCGCACAATTGGAGTGCCACTCCGTAGAACCCAGATATCTCCGAATCCGTTTTATCGGAAACTTCCAGAGACATGCCGAAATTATAACCTGCCACTTGCAGCAATGCAAAAAGCACATTGTTGCAATGTTTGCAACTACACTGCAAGGACAAACGTCCCTGCTGGACTGACGTGACGTGTGCACTTACACGATGCACAGCGAACCGCAGAATCCGGAGCGCCGCACAGAGTCGTCTCCAACATCACTCCCACAACGTCGTTTCCGCACCATTGGTTCCATATGACATCGGTCTCTCGACGCTACTCCTGCAGCGTCGCAGCATTGCCGCTCCAACATCCATCCCGCAAAGTCGGCAGATCGCCGTAGCTGCGGAGCATCAGACGTTGCTGTCCACAAAGATTTCCCCGATGCGCAGAGCCACCTCCCCAAATGCCGGCCTGTCCCGCGGCGACCGCTGCCAGCAGCGGTTCAGCAGCTCCACAAATGCCACCGGAACGTTCTCCGGGGCGCCCCAGCGCAGCTCGGCGCCGCGGAGCATCTTCAAAACCGCCGCGTCGTCCTTGTCGCCCTGCGGCAGCGCCCCTTGCGAAAACACCTCCCAGGCGAGCACCGCAAAGGAATACACGTCGCTCTTTGTGGACCACTCATCTTCGAAGAGCGCTTCCGCGGGCGTCCAGCGGATTGGCACCGATCGGTTCCGGTGGACGGCGTACTCGTTGGCATAGCTGTCCCGCGATAGGGCGGGGCAGCTGACCTTGACGTCGAGGCGGGAGGTGACCAGACAGTTGCGAGCCGCCAGGTCGCGGTGTGTGAAGCGGTGATTGGCCAGGTGCTCCATGGCCAGTGCCACCTGGTGGCAGACGCCGATGGATTGGGCCTGGGCGAGCGGCGGGGGCTTGGGACCTTTACGCTGGCTTTCCTTCTGCGTTGCCAGCAGGAACTGTTTCAGGTCGCCCTGGAAAGTAGCGTTTACTTCATTGAAATCGCTTGCGGTCACAAGTCGGAATGAAGTTGAGCACTCCCAGCTTATTCGCTTTGATTTCCTGATTTTAATACTCGAATGACCCGCACCTACAGATTATTTGGGAATTGTATCATAGAGTAGTATCATTGAGTTATAGTAAGTTGCTCTGGATATCTTGGTAGGTACTCTATATAGCTAATTAAACTGGAAGCTGCCGAGATGAACTTTCAGTTTTCTCTGTCATTCATTTTGTTCTTTCGATTTCTGTACCAACAGTCTAGATTCTCTTAGTACATCGATTGGCACACTTATTTAAATTTCTTGAAAGCGGCAATCAAAAGCTTCTAAGGTAATATAAGAGCGACGACGTGGGTATCTGAGACAAACAACACAAAAGACTTAAATATGAAGGTGGATAGACCTTTTTAATTTGCTTCAATCTGGGGTCTTCAGTGTATTGTTCAACCCTAATACCCCTGTCAGACGCATTCTAAAGCTCCTTTTCACTAAGCTCAGTTATAAAATCAGCATATCAGCTCGCGATGTTGAGTGCGCTTGTGCCCTACGGCGTGCACTGGTTTGCCAATTTCATAAAGGAGCTTGTTCTAAAGGCCGTTAAAATGCCCATTTGACAGGGGTATAAGAGTGTCCACTGGCCATATCTCCACTAACCATCAAGCTGCAAAAAAAAAAAAATTGACAGTTTTTTTGTTTAAAAAAACATGCAAAGAAGCCAGCCAAAACCAAAACAATATCATCTATACTCCGTTTCATGGTTAGTGTGCAATGCTGTCAAGGCTACCGGTGCAAGAACGTGGCTTTATCTATGGATTCGTTTGCACAAGAATGCCTGCAAATGATCTGCGAGATCAGACCCCGTGCTCACCCCAGCAGCTTTGACAGCATTGTTCAGGACACTCCAGAGAAATTACAAGATTCGTCCGGACACTTTCACTTCCTAGGGGACCCAATATGCCAACTATTCTTCCTTTTTCCCAGAAGTTTCAAATAAATTATGCCATTGCAGTGTGCACAGCAAGAACAGAATGACAAAAGCCCTCCACAAGGCCAATTGCAAAAGCAATGCTTGTCGTTCCGCACGCAAGGCGGAAACAAGGACGTGTCCATTGTGCCCTCACCCAGTCCGTGTACTCCATGATGACGAGGAAGGGCTCGACATCGCGCGACACTCCGAGCACGCGGGTGATGCCCTCGTGGTTGAGCTTGTGGAACATGTCCATCTCCCGCTTGAAGTCGGCGTGGGCCCACTCCTCCCGCGAGTGCAGTGCCTTCACCATCACCACCGTCTCCTGGTCGCCCTCTCTGATGCCTCGGGCCTTTGCCAGGAACACGTCCCCAAACTCGCCGCGACCTGGGCACGAGCAGAGCGGAAACGTGAGGTGTGGTACATGTACCGGCTTACCAGGAAGGTCCCTTTAGCACTTAGCACTTAAACTCCCTCAATGCATACAGCCCTAGGGGAGGGCTTCTCAGCAATCTTAAAAGCCGACGAGCAGCCAGAAAGGAGGAAACTGCCCCTCGATTTCTCTTCTCAATTTGAGAAAGAATTGGAAGCGTTCCTCCTTTCTACAGGGAGTAGATCAGAGACCCAGTCCTTTTGGGAAAGGAGGAAAGAAGAGAGCGAAAAGGAGCAAGGAGGACACTGGGAGAGGGTTTCCTCCCAGGCAGAAGACGATTATGTGGGTCAGGTTTTAAGCATGGGGTTTCAAAACTGGGATATAGTCATGCAGTTACCCACATGTTTCCCATCCTTGGCATAGCGAGGTGACTATCGCCTCACTCCCTCTCACCCTTGGCAGAAGGGGCAAGGAACTAAGCCCAGAACTTAGGGTTTCCTGGATTCGATTCTCGTTGTGGGGCATTCGTGATTTCTTTGTTTCTTCTCAATTTTTCATTCTTTTGTTTCCCCTGAAATTCGTGTCTCACGTTTTCTGATGGTTTTTAGCGCCGTTCCGTTACACTCTTTTCGGGTATCCCAGCCCTCAAACCCATTCTGTGTTGAAAAATGATGTATAGTGTAGTTCCTTTGAAGTTTTTCTGTTTGGACCCCCCTCCAGGTAGGGACTCCAAATAAAACATGAAAATAGTCGAAGCTGCATGGTACAAAGAACTTCACAGGAACCTCCTGAAGGCCTCAGAGTGGCAGCCAGCTGACGTGTCAGTAAGAGACTTGGCTTCTTCGAGAAGAAATGTTACCCCGGCTGGATTTCGAAGGCTAACTCCAGGTTTTTGCCCAACAAAAGAAGTTGAGAACCCTTTCTGGTCTAGACAAATGCACAGACAAACAGGAGACTAAACCAGACCCTTTCTAAAGTAAACACTTATACGTTAAGAATACAAATAAACTAGTAAAGTGAAGTTGTGGTATGAACTATTGTTATACAGTCACTGACCAATATTTCGGACGCCGACAATTTACGGTTGGAAGCTATAGACCTTTCCAGTGGCAGCCTCGAACGAAGCGATTTACAGCGGGCGTCCCTGGTTTTGAGAGGGTACGTCAGTGTAGCCCGACTGCGCTGAGCTGTGGGTTTTCTAGTCAGGGGGCTGTGGCAGCCTGCGTAGGCGCACTTCCGGGCGCTGGTGGAGGCTAAATTGCTGCGTTCTATTTTTTTATTTCGTGTTCTATGGTAAATAGAATTTCTTTGGGTTTTTAAGAATGCATTGTACTATTTTTTGGGAACAAAAACGAAGAAATAAAAGCTGTTTTGGTGAGTCTGTGCGCGACAGAACAAATGCAACTGGAATGTTTGTTTCATTTTATGTTTATCTTTTTACGGCACCGTACACTCAGCTGTGTCAATCTACAAAGGTCTTAGCCGCCGAAAGTATTTGACCACACAGGATATCCGAACTGCATGGATATTCCCCGCCCACAACATGAAATTCAACGAGTATCATAAATCGAACAACATGTAGATATAGTCTACGTACTCCACGGTGCCGCGTTATCCAAACAGGACTTGAGAAAGGTCTCAAATAACACATCATGTCCGATATACAGTGTCGACAATCGCCGATAGTCACTTCATGACAATCGGACGGAATCCGGTGTGTTTTGGGGAACATCTAGAAGAGAGCTGCTTTTTCGCACAGCTTCAAGGCAACTGTACGAACGTGTCTACTCCGTCGCCACAACCTGGACCCGACCCTATCAGCTATTTTTCGCGAAGACACGGAACATAGCCGGGAAGGCTCTTGGGAGATTATCTCAACATAAATAATCCTCCAAGAACGTCGAACTGCCTGCGTCGCGTGCTGCTTGACGTTCGCTCTCTGCGTTTGTTTCCTGCGAAGGCCGATCAGGCTACGATCCCTGGTATTCCCCGGTTCTCACAGTGGAAGATAACACACAAAGGGTGAGCATCCTAAACAGGGAAATAAAGTAAAAACTTCCAAGAAAAGCCGGCGAACTCCGAATGCGCAATGCAGGTGGGGAGTCACGCTGACCGGGTTTCCGCAGCTCAGGCGGGTGCCAGAAATTTCTGGCTGATATGGGTCGCTCGATTCGCAAAATGGCGGCGGCCAGAGCGCTCTTTTTGCAAAGGCTTTTAAAGCTCATCTTGCACCTATGGTGCCAGATGAGCTTTAATAGCTCATCTGGCACCATGGGTGGGAAGTACATTATTGGGGCACCAGTCTGGGAGCTGTGGACATGCCTTTGGTAGGCTTGATTATCAGACGACCTGAACACACCAGCAGCAAGATTATGGCACCAGAAGTCATACTCGCAAACGTGTATGGAGCACACTCTACCACAGCGGGGCGGCACCAGGAACTGCAAACGTGCATAGACTCCTTTCATGTTTACAAATACAAACTGCCTTTTGCCTCCCAAGGATCTTCCGGTTGCTCCATTTCGGAGTCGCGTGTCCCTAGGACGATAAGGTTGTACAGAAATCACGAAGCCAAGAATTTATTGAGGTCCTATATTCAACACGTAAGAGGGGACGGGTCGTTTTACAGCAGCTTTAAAAAATCCCCTGTAATCTCTCGCTAACTGGTCTTTAATTAGCTAACTGCTCGGAGAACTGGTTGTAAGATATTTTCCAAACGTCGCAAGAAGCGGTGCTACGGTGGGGACCGTTCATCCTCTCGTTTGACTGGAAGTTCACGGGAATGGAAATTGCACCAGCGCCTTCTTTCAGTGCTTTTGTAAAAGAAGGGTCTAAGAGCACGTCTAGAGAGCAGAGAGCCGTAGAAGGATGGCACAGAAGGGCCGCTCTCACCGAGGAGCATCATGGTGTGGAGGTCGTGCCTCGGGTACTGAAGCCGGTCGTACGAGGAGCGGCTGCGCTTGGAGTGCTGCGAGTGCGAGCCTGAGCTGTGCGACAGGGCGTCCCCGCCGTTGTCGCTTCGCACCGCAGGCTCACGCCCCACGGCAGCTTTGTCGCGGAGCTCCGTCGTGGCTCCGCCCTCGTCGTCCGACTTGCCCACTACGGAACCACGTAAGACAACAGTGATCGGTTATCTATGTACTTATTATTGAAAAAAATATCATTAGCCATTCCACTTTCTGAAGGTGGATGACCAGCAAAGGTGTTTAGCACACGACACAGACATGACACAGAATTTTGAACAAAGGTATGAACACATTTATTGTCTTGATCGGTGGTCATCGTGACGAAAGGTACGCACAAACATGTCGAGGACTATCGCCACCCCTAGGAGCTGGAGAAAAGTAGACACGCGCGATGGGACCGACACCCGGCGACGGAAAGGACACTAGGCCCGCAAGCGCTTGGAACGATGACAAAGAGAGGGTGGTGCGAACCCTCTCCGAGTTTTCGTTAACGCACACGGAGAATCCAGGGAACCCTAGTCATAAACGGCTTCGCTGTAAAACCTAAATCGTGTTGTGTGTTCGTTTAGACAGCAGGAAGTTACCTAGTCAGTCCCATATGGGCACCAGGTGTCTCCATTGTAGATGTAAAATTTAGCCAGTGTGGTAGCACTGCTCGCCTGGAACCATGTACGTACATCATGCAGTAGTGATACACAACTACACGCCGGTACCATGATCATCCAGACAGTGATGGAAGTGGTGTGCCATTGGCACCAAATTGTGCCATGAACGAAAGTCTACTACACCTTGTGCCAAAGCGCCATTTTCGCTAAAAATTGCGCCACACCTGCGCAGAGACTGCCTTAAACAAAGCACAAAAAAACTGAAAAAAATTATTATAGGTCGATTTAATATTTAGAGAAGTTGAAGGAAATGAAAATGATACGAATACAGTCTAAGCTCGTTATAACAGACCTTGATTTTGACCAAGATTTTGGTCTGTTGTAATAGGAGTATAAGTTCATGAATGAAGAAAGAATAAAACAATTAAAACAGGGACAACACAACCACATCTTTCATCTATGAATGAAAGATGTGGTTGTGTTGTCCCTGTTTTAATTGTTTTATTCTTTCTTCATCCATGACCAAAACCAACACGCTCTTCTCCCGAGTATAAGTTGTATGCAGATATAAAGTTGAGTCAATGGTATGTAGAGGAAAACCATCCGGACTTCACAAATCATTATGTTTTATCCAAATGTCTGTTGTAATGAGCTTAGACTGTATGTACTTTACAGTGTCTACCCTACCCGCGGTATAGTTTTTCATCTTAGGTAAGAGCACAGCCGATCGGAAAGACATAAAAGTGCAGGTCTAGGAGCATTCGCTGCTCTTGATTGGTTTAGCCAATGAAAGAGCACGCACAGATAGATGACGAATGCCTTGATGTTGCGCCTTTGACGCTTCTTGAATTGTCCCATTGGTCGGTATAGGGTCGCCTGTGTTTTGATTTAAGATGAAACAAAGTGTAAAGGTTGCTCGTCAACCGCGCTGGCCCTGTCATCGTCTGAATTTCCAGACAATGTCTTCGATGTCAGGAGCTAAGAGTCGGGACAAAAAAACGTGCAAAATAATGGGATAGCGACTGCTGTAACAAGCCAGAACCAAGGTCTTTTACTCCTAATGATATCACTTGATTATCTTGTTTGCCACATGCCTCCATGCCATGGCTACAGTGTACCATAACACTTGCACCGCTCCCGTCAACCTTCTTGGTCTCACACCAGCGTACACGCGTCGAGCTTCACCGCTTTGCACCGAAGTGCTAGGAGCAGCGGCTGACGTGGGGGAGCACTTTGGTTAGCACCATTGGCTTGAAAGTCATGCTCAGTACTATTGCAGATCGACCTTCTTTGGTATTGAATGTAGGCTGACCTCTAATTTAAAAAAGGCTGTGCTGAGAAAGGGAATAAAGGAAAAAAAACGCGGGTCTATACTTGAATAAACACTTCGTTTTCAGTCAAGGTAGTTCCCGAGCAGCTGTTGACTCAACTCTAGTTCGAGCGAAACTAAGGCGCAGTGTCACTTTTAGAGCTCAAATGTAGGTTTTCTTAATATTTGCTGGTTGTTGTTTTTGCAGTTTATAAAATTAAAATCTTGAATTTGGTGTTCATAAACTTTGTAAAGAAGGGAAAGCGGGAAGGGGTATTTTTATTGATAGATATTTTAGCGCATAAGCTTATTTTTGCTGTAATTTTACAAGAGTTATATTTACAGGCTAAATTAACTACCAATTGTAAAAGAGGGAGGAAGAGAGAAGCCTTGTCTCAACTGAAGTGTTGCGCTAAGCTTTATTTTTCTACACTTTTTTTTTAAATGCTAATTAGAAATTTAACCTACACTGACCTCAGCCTCATTCTTAAAGAACGCTGTGTTTTCTTGCATCCTATCTGTTCTTACTACAAAATTGGCCAGCGATCCCTTTGAAATGCCTTAAAGGTCCGTTTGGTAAAAGGAATTACGTAAGAAGGGACAAACAACCACGTTTGGAGGAAAAAAAAAATGAAAAAACAACACCAGAATCATCAGAACAAGGAGACAAATCAATCAATACTGAGTCACATCGACAAGAATTAGCAAAGTGAAAACACAAATCAATTAATCATAAATTATGTACCGTAATATCCAAAGAGATAGCCCATCTAAAATTCAAAGCAAGTCGGGTGAAAATCGGGAGTAAGCTAACTTTCAATGTGCATTCAAAAAAAGTTGAAAAAATGCTAGTTTTAGATTTTGTGACCTGTGAAGCTTGCGATTGCAGGGAAGGGCGACGAACAAAAGACGATTGTTCTTCCCAGTCGGCAACGTTCACTTATCTCCTGTCGTGGCTAAGTAACACCACTTCTGCCAAGGTCACCATTGGCCGGAACCCTGCAATTTCTAAAAGTGCGCTATCTCTCGGTATTTTCAAAAACGAATAGCAAATCGAGCCAAAATTAGGAGGTGGGTTATCTTTTGGGGGTGGGGCATCTCTCAGGGTATTAGGATAATACCTAAATGGCAATAATAAGGGTACAAAAATTTTAGGCGTTTGAGGTGGCCGTTTTGGAAAGAAAAGACTCCAGAAATGAAGAGAGGCGGTGGGTGTAATGATCAATTTTGAAGCAGTGATTGAGATAAGTTGCAACCAGAGATGGGTACACTATGTCACTGTGTTTTCTTGTTGCCTGTTTTTACAAACCCCACAAATGACATATAAATGTCATTTGAAGCGTACACAAAAGAAGCTTTTTTAGGAAGTGTACAGGGTGCCGAATTTAGACCAAATCATAGCCGTGTTTATAGAGTTAAGTCAAGAGGAGGAGCAAGTGCTGCCACCAGAGCCACATATTTCCCTCTCAAAATAAAAGGACACTCAGCTGCCAAAAAAGTTTCTGTCCAGTGCTTGGATAGAGGACAGATATACCCTCTTTCCTTGACAAAATGCAGTTGAGAAGGGAAGTAGCAATTCAGCCCCCACCAACTCCATTTTTGCAAAAATTCAGTTCCTGTACAGGGTGTCTCCCCAAAATATTTACAGGGTTTTCTTAAACGCATGAATAAACTACACATCGCCAAACGCTCATTTTCCACACAAATGTAAGACTAGCACTCCGAAACAAATGCCAAAGTTTCGGAATCACCTAGGGGTAAGCATTATCTTGTTCAAAATATATTATAAGTGACTTTATGAAATTTTCAATGGGAAAATATTAATAATAATAACCTTTATTTCGACCCAGAAAGATTGAGGTGTACCAAAAAGGCTGGAGGCCTGTACCAGTTGGCCTAGTACACTGGCCATCGGAGCTCTTGAATACATGGAGCTGAATGGCACCAGTTACCGAAAATGGGCGAAAAAGGGCTCCATTTTCCTATTGAAATTTTCATTAAATCAGTTATAACTTTTGAATGAGACAACGGTTAGTTTCCAAACTTTGTCGTTTTGTTCAGAACGCTAGCGCTACTTTTGGCTGAAGAATAAGCAGTGAAAAAACGCAACCAAATTTTTTTTGGGGGGGGGGACACTTAGATGGGATTGTGATAACCCATTCCATGCTTTATCAATGGAAATGACCAAATATATATAGATAACCAAAATGAAAGATATTATTTACTGTCCCTCTATAACGAACCCATAATTCTCCAGGGACAAGACAGAACCCTCCTACGCTTTCACACCGCAAACACGTCTTCGCAACTATAAAATGAAATGAGCAAAGTTCAGCGGACTCCGACTTCTGGGTGGCAACCCTGCATTTCTTGTTTTCAACTACCAACAACAGTTTCCCGCCACAAAAATAAACCATGCATCGCCTAATGCTCAGGCTCTGCCCAAAAACAGAGCTAGTGGTCCAGGCCTAATGCAAAACTTTGGGAACTAACTCTTATCTTATTCAAAAGCTATATGTGATTCTCTAAAAGTTTCAAAGGAAAAACGATGTCTGTGACAGGTAGCTGATGCCATTCATCTGCATAAATTCGAGGCTTTCCTTGGCCACCATTTCCCCACAAAAAATTTCTGAAACTTGCTTATAAATTTGTAATCGAATAGAAGCAAGTTCCAAAACTCCAGCATCTGTTCCAGATTGTTAGTGCTACATATGGAGAGAGGTGCTTTCAGGGGTGCACAGTTTACGTTTACGGTAAAAGAAACACTGAATTCTTTTTCAGAAACACCCTAATTACCCCAAAAGTGAACCAGGTCTGAGCTGACAGACAAACGACACATATCTCCCTCATTAGAGAAACAAGCACGTCATTCCTCACCTTCGGAGGTGACCTGCAGGAGCAGCATGGCTTTCCTGCGTGCCCTCCTGAAGCGGCACCAGATCATGAGTCCCATGACGAGCATCATGTAGATGGCGGCGGCGCCTAGGGTGATGGTCACCGTCTTGGCCATCGTGTTCTCGCCAGGGTCCCCCACCCCTGGCAGGCTGCCAGAGGAGTAGCCCTCAGAACCTGGGAGCAAGCGGGCAATTGTGGCAGACTCTGCGAGACTCAAAAATGATGTGCTTAGTGAAAGCAACGAAGCGTACCGGCCGAATATGACGGGGATAAACAGCTCGGTAAACTCAGACGAAAAAAAGATGCAGTGCCACGAAAGCAGTATCTTGTCGTGGTTGTGTCTTTCCTTCGTCTGCATTTAGTGCACTGTCCATCCCCATCATGTACAATGTTTACCAACAGGCTGAATTTGCTACCTTACTGCTGAATGAAGCTTGGCTAATTAATCTTCAAGTTCATTCCCAGTCTTGGGGTTTAAACATCATGGTTATTTGCACCAGTTCGCCTTCACTTTGACCATTTTTTGGCTAAGACCTTCTTTTTCTTAATGCTTTGTTTCATTACATAAGTCTTTGCCGAAACATGCAGAGAGCATTATTATGTCATCAAACTTTTCCTTTTGTTTTCACATAAAAAAATGTTATGAAATCTTTTATATTTAATGTGGGTATGCAAATGTACTGAAGCAGGTCCCTGACTAAAATTTAACTTGTATGCTAAAGATTGCTGTTGGCCACAGAGCTGCATGTATAAAATGATTGGAGCAAATGACATATTTATGCTGAGTATGTTGTATGTTTCAGAGTTGCAGCTAAATGTTTACTTTTTAAGCACCAGAATCTATAGATTGTTCGATAATTCTTATACAGTAGGACTTCTATATTAAAGGCGCACTAAAGTGCTTTTAGGGATCCTCGTTTTATTGTCATAACTGTATCTACGAGCTCTAAGCATCCTAAAAAACCCAAAATTACATTCATGCACGGCCAATTTGCATACTAAAAAAATTATCACAGATCGAGACACGTAACATTGACACAGAATGACAAATGGTGCTACCGAACCTCGCTGAATATGGTCAAACGACGGACGGCGTTTGTCAGCGACTCGTGAGCGATCGGCTCCTGTGTGGACAAGCAACTGACCAGTCCCGCTTGTCCACGCAGGATCCCATCGCTCGCGAGTGGCTGGCAAGCACCCTCCGTCACTCGACCATATTCAGCAAGATTCGGTAGTGCCACCTGTCGTTCTGCGACAACGGAAAGTGTCGGGATCTGTGATCACTTTTTTGATATGCAAATTGGTCGTGCATAAATGTAATTCCAGGTATTTGAGAATGCTTAGAGCTCGTAGACTGAGTTACAAACACAAAACGAGAATCTCGAAAAGCACTTTGGTACTCCTTCAAAAGTGTACAGAATCGAAAATTGAAATATCCCCGGAACACTTCGCAACGGGTGAAATATGATCCATGATATCCATAGATCATAATCGCATGCTTGTATTTTCAGTGGATGGCCATACTTTCCGTTCCAACCGACAGATTCTGGCGAGCGCCTCAAAATCGACTTTCAAGGCGGCGCAATGCATCTCGGGATATTTGACTGTGATGTCACGCTTGCAACGTCACGGGCCCATAGACGACAGAGGGAGCCGTAATTACGATCGTCGTCACTTGGTGGCGCCAGCTTTATCGTCAACGCGTTACGATTCCGCCAAGTGGGAACACCCGAGGTATGGTGTACTAGAACTGAGACGGGTGCCAAGCTCCGCTCGTTCCCGGGCGCCTCCATGGGACACGCCGCGCCGTGGCGCTGCGGCTGATGGGCCTATGACGTCAGACATTCCAATGAAACTTGGCCCCCCAACTACCAGGTGGTATTAGCAAATCATTTTATTCATTTTAAAATTGCTTTTCTTGCGTTTACAAACGAAAGAATGGTGTTTGTGAGCTGCTGTCATTAAAGAGGTCACGTATAGAGAAAGAAATAGGTGTTAAAATTTTCCGTCCATACCCCTTTAATGATTGCTACAGCAAAGATGTGCATATAGCAAAGTGCAGTTGATTTGTGCATCTAATAATAGGACAGGCATCTGAGGTGTGTTGATACTGATATAGCAGAGATTCTGTCTAAAAAACTGATTATTTACTCTAGAGAAATTTCACCGTATACAGTGCAACCCACTGTATACGAGAAAACCCGAGACTTTAATCGTCATAACCGATTATCATATCTCAGGGGCGGATTCAGAACTCCGTTTTGGGGGGGGGGGGGGGGGGGGGGGGGTCGGAAAATGTTTAAGGATACTATTCTCCCATTGTCTCGTGTGCACGGGGGGTCCACCCATGTCAAATTGCCCTCCGAGAAGGGGGAGGGGGGGGTCGACTTTGTTTGGGGGGGCGGCCGCCCCCGTCGCCCCCCCTCCCTTGGATTTGCCCCTGTCGTATCTGGACTAGAAACATATCATTTCCAGACTAGAAACTCTAGAAACTGATCATTATAAGCAGTGCATCGTTACATGTGGTATCATTATAAATGAACTGCACTGTATTCACATTATTTCTTTATCCTCTAGCAGGATTCTTGACGATGTGAATAACATCAGGGCAATGTACAAATGATATGTGTGAAACCTGGGAAGTTTGTTGCCATGAGGCCATCAAGAACAACATTTCATACGCAAGCATTAAGCTTTAAAAAAATGCTCCTTCCACCTTTATCGGCATGCCACGATGGCATCTCCGCATGCAATGAGGAAAGGATGCTTCCCAGGTAAGGAGCGGAGGGCAATGATGACGCAGAGGCTGCCGCCGGCAGCTCTTCCAGCATCGTCTGCTACCCATTCTGGGTGGCTGCTCGGCCACAGCAGCTAAGTGCAGCACTCTACTACTCAATAAGTTTTCTGAATTCAATTACCTTTTACAGTGAAGCTGTTTAAGGCTAGGGTTCTGTGGTGGATGTTTCATGTGCATCAAACAAAAACTCTACGCTCGCACCGCCCCACGCGCCGCACGCACATGCCTTCCCCGTATAAAAGATTCGAAGTAAAAATAAAGCGTTGACGAACGCCCATGCAAGGTGCCATTTGTTTTAGGCTTTAGCTTTAGAACAGCTACTGCTGCAGACGCCGGCACGTGCGGCACGTGGAACACCATTTCCTGCAATCTCCTTGATGCTTGGTTAATTTAGCAATACAGTTAAACCTCGATGTAACGAAGTCGGTAAAATTCGCAATTTACTTCGTTACATTGAAATTTCGCTAAATCGAAATTTGGCTTTAGCATGCAAAAAAAAAATTCCGAAACAATTTACGGGTATGAAAACTCACCGAAAATGACATTTATTTTGGGGCAAAGTAGTCCGCGAGTTTTGCTTGCGCCTTGTCCGACAGTAGCAGCGGCGTCATACGGCGTTCGAGCGCCCAGAGCGCTTGCACGGCATCTTGCTGCCTATGCGACGCCGTGTACCTTCTCAGTACGTCCATTGCGTCGAGCACTTCCCGAGTACTCGTGATCTCAGCACTTTCTTCAGGATGGCGTCCAAAACGTTTGCTTTCTCATCCAAAAAAAGAACTTTACGTTTCCTTATGCCAGCAAGCACGTGAGTGAACCGCCTGGTTGAAAAATAAAGCTGTTTAGTTTAGGCGGTGCCAATGTTTCCAACCTACACAGCACTCTTGCCCGCACAGTTTACTTGCCCCCTTGCGCCCACAGTGTGCTTGCGCCTTTGCTTTACATCACGGTCGCAAGACGATAATCGGTCCTCTCGGTCTTCTCCTAGATGGCACTGCCCGTGCGGTCGCGCCATCACGTCGCTCCCCGCTGAAGTTGGCTCCCGCGCTACCCGCGGTACAGTGGACTATGATGATCAGTGAATGTCAGTGGTGATGCTGTTATGCCGTGTAAACTTTTTGCTCGGCATTTTTTGGCCAGCCCCGCGGAATCCGCTTTGCCGCATGCCTCGCCGGCGCTACCGGCGCCGCATCCTCGGGCAGCCTAGGAACTTTGGAAGGCCTGTCCCCATGAAGTAACCTATCAAAGCGCTCGCGTTTGCGCATAATTTTTTTTTTTAACTACAATTTTTTTTGTGAAGTTGTTTTTTAGAGTTTATTTATTTATTGCCTTCTATGACAATGGCGCTTCGTTATATTGAAATAGCAGCAAAATGGACTTCGTTATATAGAGACTAAAAATACATGGGGTCTATGGGCAAAAAATTATGAAAAATAAAATACTTCGTTAAATCGAGGATTTCGTTACATTGAAGTTCGTTATATCGAGGTTCGACTGTATGTCTATTTTGTAGATTAGTTATCAAAAGGCTCTCTTTTCAAGATCAACAAACTCTCAGGTAGATAATAAAGGTTTCTCAACGATTTACCGCTGAGCAACCCACGTCGGCCATGTCTATGCTCGCACCGCCCTCTCTTTGTCGTCGTTTCAAGCCCACTTGTGTTCCTAGTTTCCTTTCCTTTCGCTCTCCCGGCGTGGCGGTCTCGTCGCGCGTGTCTACCTTCCGCCAAATTGCGGATCCCGTCGCGCATGCCTACTAGTTTTCTCCGGCTCTTCGGGACGGCGATAGTTGTCCACGCAAAATAATGACCACCGATAAAGACAACAATAAATGCGTATGCATACCTTTCGTCACAATGATCACCAATCAAGACAATTAATGTGTTTGTATTTTTGTTTAAACTTCTGAGTCACATCTGTGTCAAGTGTTAAGCAGCTTCACTGATTATCCACCTTCACAGAGTGGAATGGCTCATGATTTTTCAACCATCAGAAAATTTCTCGTCGCCATATCCGCGGGAGCTGCTCCATTTGCTTCGCTGAAAACAGACACAAATATATTGAAAAGGTACAAATGGAAATGGGGAATCGTGATCGCTATAGCCGCTATTCAAGTGAATGTGACTATTTCACAACTGTCCTAGACTAACCATAAAAACCTCTAGAAGCTGAAGCTGGAATAAAGGAAGGATCGACGAAAAATAAACTCACCGAGCACAACCAGGCTGGCTTCAACTCGCCTGAGGCCGCCGCTGTTACCCGCTGTGCAGCCATACTTGCCGTCATCATCCCGATGTACCTCCGAGATGAGCAGTGACCCATTGTCCATGACCTGGTAGCGCTGTGGGTCGAAGTTGTTCAGGATGTTGTTGCGGTCCCACTGTATAGTGGGCGGCGGGTCGCCCGTCGCCTTGCAGTGAAGCATCGCGCTGTAGCCCTCTACAGCCTTCGTTGTCATCGGTTGGACCGTGAATCGGGGCATCACTGTGCAATGGAAGAAGCACACAGGACGACACTCTTAGTAGCACAAAGCAGCGACCGTCATTGTTCTTCTGTTTTTCTCTCAAAATTTAACTGCCAAAAAAGCTTCCGCCATGAAATGCCAACCAATCTGCACCCACGCAAGAGATTGAGATAACTGCAAAGAAATGAAGATGGGTGGATGTTAAGCTTGAGAGCAGAAAAGCAGAAGAAGCACATGGTAGCATAGGTCCTTGTTTGATCCAGCAATATACGGACGGCAAGTCGTCTGCTTCTTGCGCAGGGGTTGCAGTGACGTCAGAATGATGCCGAGCTCTGAGTGGCTCTGATCGGAGGCATCCATGCTAAATGCCTTGAGGTCTACCCACTATTTTTTCTCAATCAGCCAATAGAAGCTTGGCGTTCTAACATCATTGCAACCCCTGTGTAAGGAACAGACGAAGTTCCGCACTGACAGGAGCACTACAGGGGTCTGGCATAACCCCTAATTTTTAAAGCAGCTGAACCACTCTTGCTAAGCCTGCTTTGCGTCGGCGCTATCACGTCAAGCATTACCACGTTGCACCGACACAGGTGCTTAAAGCTTCACCTCTTGGCATTAGTCTCTTGGAGGAGCAGCTTCAGAAGTTTGCTGGGGTGGGTGCTTGTTACGTGCTTTGCCTACATCTCAAATGTTTAAAAAGTAGGTGGTGGGAGCTGGTTACATGCTTGGTATTTTACGGTAATATAGCAGATTCATGGCAGTAACCTAAGCGGTAAAGTTTGCTGCCCGTCACTAGCTCTGACCGAGCGAAATGCAGAAAAGCACCAATGTCACGTTTGAGCCAATGTTGTGGTGCAGTGCACGTACCCCGTTTGTTTTCAGTGGCAAGTTTGCCTGAGTTTATAGAGGGACCGAGGAATCGTCTCACAGTCTTTCACTGCCAGTATAGTACCTTGGTGGCTGGGCCACACAAAGCGTGTTCTCTCGTCGTTCAGAATGCGAATTCACGCCCGTCAGAACGCAATCTTAACAGAGGCGGGCGTACCGATGACGTCGAGTCGCACGGTGGCGTTGATGAGTCCCTGGGCACTGGTGGCGATGCAGGTGTAGCGCCCCGCATCCTGGTCGCGCACCCCCTGGAAGCGCAGGGTGCCGTTGTCGTCCCGGATGTGGGGGGGCCACTCGAGGTAGGGCTGCTGTCCCTCCTTGATCCAGCGCACGATGGGCGCCGGGCTGCCCCGGGCCTTGCAGTAAACCTTGGCGTTGGAGCCCAGCTCCAGGTTACGGCTCACGGGGGCTGGCACAAACTTGAGGCGCTCTGTACGGAAGGGTGTGCCGTACGGAGAGGTGTGATGACGACGGAAGAAGAGACAGAAACAAACAATTCTTGACAAAATCGCAGCCTAGACTGTCGTTGAAATGCGATAGCATTATGCACCGTTTTGTACCGTGTAAATGTTTTTTTTTTGTTAATTTAAATTTCTAGGAATATTTTTGTCAATGTCCATAAAGATCCTAAAATCATATAATTTTCTGACTCCATTCATATATTTTTTTATTGCTTTTGCCTGCAATTGTTCTTTTTTTACTTGAAAACTTTTTGACAATGTTATAATTGACTGCCGTAAAATACCGGGCAAGCGCCCACTCAAAATTTAGAGATAATCGCGAAAAAATGGGGGATGGGCGCTTGTCCCATCTTCAATTTTACATATGAATGTACTCTGCATATTTTCTCAGATCTTGCAAATTTGGGTATGGGCGCTTAGTGTGGTATGGGCGGATGCGCGGTATTCTACGGTACTACTATTCCTCATAGCTAGTGAGAAATAGCTAATGAGAAATGCACGCTTGATTTCGCAAATACCGCAAAACCTTCGCTCTAGTGAAGTGGAATTCCACCTCGTAAGAGACGCCAGCGTGCCAGTGTGTTTTTTTGTCCTAAGAGATCGCAAAAACTCTGTCGTAAACAAACGCAATTGATGCATGAATGGGCCTTAAGAGAGCACAGAGGTCTTTGGAGCCGAAAACTTCCTAAAACCGCATTCTTTTGAAAATGGCAATGTTGACCTCTACAGCTGTTATTCTTCTGAATCTACCAGGTTGCTAATTTCGTGGATGAATGTTTGAGCTATAAATCGATTTATAATGTCTATGTGGGCTGAATGTGCATTGAAGTTGACTTAAAACATTGTTTTCACAAAACACAATTTTTGGACTAAATCAAAATTTGCGGGAAGGATATCTCAGCATCTAGAGCAGATAGAAATATAACCTTTCCAGAAACATGTAGCTAAATGTGTGAAGCATACAGTATACAAAACAGATTTTTTAATATAAGTCTAGAAAACTTTCTATTTGATCTTTTGTTTTACTACTTGTTAGACGTTCATTCAGCACTGAACTTCAATCTGTGGTAAAATCACCAATAATTGGTTTGTCTTAAAAGTACTTCCATGATTGTATCCTCCACACTTCGTAGTATCTAGCCATGTGTTAAAAAGCATAATTTGTTGAGCATTTTCTTCCCTATTGTTCCTCCAAACAAAGGCAGGCAAGTTTTAATTATCTCAAAGACAATTCTACTGACTGAGAAAATGACCAGATATATGAAATCAGCATAAAAATCTGAACAAGCTTGTGCAGTTCCATTGGGTTTGGTCATAGAATAGAACAAAGCTCCAAGACCAGTGTTCCCCCTTAAACGTGCCAAGTCGACACACTCTCGGCGTACCACTTCCTATCCCCGAGGCCGAGCACTCACCCCTGACTGTGATGGTGGCCACCTTGGCCGTCTCGGGTGGGAACCCTGTGGTGTTCACCTGGCAGGTGTACTCGCCGGCGTCCGTGAGCCCCACGTGGCGCAGCACCAGCGTCCCGTTGGGGTGGAAGGTGGCGTGGGGCGAGGGCTCCCGCAGCGGCCGCTCCCCGTGGTGCCAGGAGACGTGGGTGACCGGGTGGGGCGACCCCGTGAAAGCGCACACCAGCGCCGTGTCCTCGCCCTCGTCCACCACCAGGTCCAGGGGGTGGGACGTCACGGACGGCGGCACTGTGGCGGCCGAGCCCCGAGTCAGGGGTCTCCGGAACTTTCCAACGCAAAATTGTTTCGAAAGCCGCCAGACCATAAAAGTGAGCGCGTTCAAAGGTTTCGACTCTGCAACTAAATGTAGCGGGTAACACATGAATTGATGCATACCAACTTGATTTAGGAAGAACTGGCATGAAAACGCCGCCGTTGTGAGGCAGTCGCGGAGCATCAAGCTTGAGGGACGTCTGAAGAAGTTCAAAGGATCCCAAATGCTACTGCATTACACCTCGTCTAGTAGAAGCCAGAAAAGAAGGCATACGTTTTTTTCGTCTGGAGGAACATCTATCTGTCTCGATAGATAGCCGAGCCACTCCTCCGTTTCGGTAGTAATGCCGTAGAACAGTTGAGAAGCCTACAGGCTTTGTAAGCAATAATGCGCATTCTAAGAGGTGTTGGTTCATGCTTACACAACATTGGCAGCTCAGATATGCTAAAATGAAGCTTAACTCTTTTCTGACCTCAGGAAAAGTGGTAAATGATCCATACAAATGCTTTTAATTTCTCAAGTAACTTGTGTATGGAGCAATATGACACATCAAAATGTGGCCAATTAGTTGTTCTTTAAAAAAAAACAGGTTACTATAATGTAAAAAAAAAAGAAATTTCACATTTTTTTTTTTTTTAAATACAGTGCAGGTGCAGAAGGCGTATAAACGCTGAAACTTCTGCAGCTATGTCCAAATAAACGACAAAGAAAAAAATGCTGAATATAAAAATATCCCACACCCGTGGCTATTACTTCTGAAAGTTAGTGCACTCTAAGTGAAGTCGCCTATTTTCAGTTCATAGGAGAGTTAGCCTCCGTAACCCGTGTGCTTTTCAATGAAACAATGCTTATATATTGGTGAAACACAGATATAGTACACTTCACATCCCCAGCAGAATGCTTTCCTTGTGTTCTGTCTTGGTTTTGTCACAGCTGCGATTGCAGTTCCCTCATACTATTTAGAATTTTTGTGCGCCTTGCTGAGAACATAAAACGTGCACGCCTGCTCAGGACAGCCTTGGAAATTATAGTGATGCTTACCGACAGGCATAAGTTAAGCAATGCCTATAACATCATTTGAAGTGTCCCCAGAGCTCTTGTGGTCTAACAAATATGCCACAATACAGTTGAATTGTGTAAATAACGCCATCTTTATTACAAAGACTGATGCAAGCAGTTAGCCATGTTAGAAGAGTGTCACCACCATTCCCAAGACTATTTTTGACAGCCCACCAGCTTGTCATAAAGCTTAAACCTATGTTGAAACCAAAACGAAGAGTTCATCGGCTATCCACAAGATTGTAGAACGTAATTCTCTGCACCAAATTTAATTTCTTGACATCGCTTGGAAAACCATCGCTCACTGCGGTGATCGACGGCCTATGAGAGCGGTAAGAAAAGAGTTAAAAGCCGACCAGCAAAATATTTTTCAACCAGAGTGAAAATCCTCCTCGCTTCCCTTCCCACTTCTCCCTCTCCCACAGCTATCTTGATGGAAAGGAGGTTCCTTTTATTGCTGCTCTTACTGGGTCCGGATTTGAGCCGGGATAAGCTCCCAGCTTATCACGCCCCAAGACGCAGCAACAAAAGGAGGACCCCTCCCCCCCCCCCCCCCCCCCCCCTTCCCTCTCAGGGGGAAGCAGGAAGTGTGGCGATTATAATGCAATTAAATGCAAAGGTGTAAGTGAGCTGGACAAGAGCAAGCTTCAAACTAAACAAGGGCTCTACTGAGGTGCCGCGACAGTCAATGAAATTTGAGACTTCAAAGAACCCACGGGGTACTTTGGGGAACCCAGTTGAAAACCAATGCTCTAAATATTGGTGGCTTCCATATGGAGCCTGTTCGAGAAAGTAATGGAGTGTTTTGAGTGTGGCAGATAAATGAAATGCACACTGCAGAAAACTCAGACTTCATTATAGTCAGACTGCTTTGAACGTTAATTAAACATTCAAGGCAATCTGACAAAGATATATAGATGAGACCTTCAGAAGCCTGCTCCAGACACCGTCCCATCGCTGCTCAATGTCACGAAGCCTCACCTGCGACAAAGACGTGCACCTGCGTCCTGCGGGTACCGGCAAGGTTCTGCACCACACAGCTGTAGTTGCCGGCGTCGCCCTTGCGGGCGGCGTCGAGGAGCAGCCGCATGTCGGCCACCCTGAGTCTGCCGGTGTCCCCGATCGTGTGCCCACCAGGGTCCTCCCACCATGCGCGGGGCCGGGGCGTGCCAGGGGGCACCACGCACAGCAGTTCCAGCTGCCCGTTCTTTGGGACCACCACTTGGCGGTCCGGGGACAGTGGCGGCTCGATGGACGACTCCTTGAAGTCTTCCAGGACTGTTGGAGGAACAAGTTTGAGGACCCAGGTGCACAGACGGTGAAGTCGGTGCACGATTCGAGTAAATAAAACGAAGTGGAAAAGGACACAAGGGTAAGACACAAACAAAGGTGGCACAGACTACCGGCTGTTGTTCTCTTCCCCGACAAGATACATGGACATAATGGAAGGAGGAACTGAAAAACAGACAGGGCAAACACACATCACTATGGTAGGTAAAAGGTTAAGGGTTCAAGGAAACCTCCTCCCACCTCTTTCCACTTCAGCAGAGCGAACGCTGGATAAAGAGTAGCCCCTTCTCCAGCATTCACTCTGCTTAGGTGGAAAGGTGTGGAAGAAGCTTACCCTAAACTCTTAACCTGTCACAAATTATAAAATTTACCATCATCCCTCATGTTTCGATAAAAAAAATGACCAATAATTCCTAGGGTATTACAGTGCAGCACACATATATGAAACCTCTGAAGGCCGCTCCACCCCGCATTTTCTTATTTTCATCTCGCACGTCCGAATAGATGCTCTTTTCTTTTTTCAGCACTTTACGGTGTGTCGGTAAGCAGAGGGAGTTGGAAAACATCATAATCCAAACCCTGACACACGAAGATATAAAATAACAGACAGCACATTGTTCAGTTGTTCATTCAACAGAAGCTAAAGCATTTTTGCGAAATACCAGCTGCTGTCCCGAGTCTAGTTGGAGGTTTACTTTCCAAGAGGCAGCCCACAGACGACGTGAGCCTTGCGGACACTCACAGGCAAGTCTGAGCCGTGCCACAAAAGACTGCTGCGGGGCGTTTTTGTCCTCGCTGACGCCCACGCAGCGGTAGAGGCCCCCGTCCACATCTTGGACGTTGTGGACAAGCAGCGACGAGTTGGGCAGGATGGTGACTCTGGAAGGGTACGGGAGACAGTCAGTTGGGTATAGAGTTCACTGCACTTTCCGGAGAAAAGGCAGAGCCAAAAATATTTGCAAAGTATTTGGTCACACGAAAAGTGTGGCAGTATAGACTTGTGCATGGTGAAAAGGGTCTCCGATCACAAATATGACAACTTTGAAAGAAACAGCATTTGATTAGATCACTCGAGCAATTGGTGTCAAGATTATAATGATTACTTTGAGAACAAGTGTTACGCTTTCTCTCCAGCTAATAAAAAAGATCAATATTTAGAATGTGCTGCCTTTTTATCCTCAATCAGAGAGCCTCACTCTCTTCACTTGTACAACACAGAAAAGAAAGCTGCCAGGAGCTACCTTCTTTCCTCACCCTTCCTCTTGCTTATATTAGAACCACCTTCTTGCTAATCCCACAGAGTCAAAACGGTTTTCTCCAGCTTTATACTTTGATTTTTTTTTTTCATCATCATCATCACCAACATCAGTATGTTTGTTTTTTTTTCTATCCCCTGAGCCGACTCTTCCCTGAACCAATTCTGAACTTCCTTTCACTCCTCCAGTTTTGACACTGTACCCCCAGACTCCCTTTCATTCTCTCACTCTTCCTTGTTCCATCCTCTCTCTCCCTTGAACTTCGTGGAGACCAAACACTAGAGACAAAGTTATAGGAAAATATGTTAGTTCTATCGAACACAAAAAAAGAGCAGTTACAGCCCCAGAGCACATGTCTAGGAGGTGCCGCAGTCGGGCGATAGTCAGCGCCTCCACCGGCAAAGAAGCGCAACGATGAGTCACCGGCGCGTCGCCTGCTTCTGCTGCCCTCTTTCTCGTTGCTAACTTCGAAACGCGGTGCTGCTTGTTTGACTGCGTACGTCACCATGTATACTAAAAACGCAGTGACTGTGGCTTGTCTGAGGTACAATTGAGCTGTTCCTTTCGTATTGTGGACATAATGCCTATCTTGGATAATCAAGTAAATGCACTCTGACACATGATACTTTCTGGTTCATCGCACATTGACCAATCCCAATACCTAACCCTTCATCAATCCCGTATCACTCGTAACAGACATTTGTGTCACTTACAAGAGTTTTCGTTCAATAAAGATTGTTTCAAGCATTCCTTTTTTCCTTGTACGGTGCGGGGCTGGAATTGGTTGCCAGAACATGTTGTTTCTTCCACCCATCTTGAATTGTTCCTTTTCCAGCTGGACGCAACCTAACTATTGCATATTCTTGACTTGCAATGTCTTTTGGTGGTCCTTGCATTGTGCTTCGTTGCCATGTTGCTTCACCTGTTGCTTTTACAAACTTAACTCGTTGCCACTCGTGTCAAAGTCCTAATCAGGACTGACAGTATGTCAAATAAATAAATAAAATAAATAAATAAATAAAAGGCAGTCACGCAACAAGTCGCGGCAACTCGGGAGATGAGTTTGAGGTAAGATTAACATTATTATTTTATTGTTGATGAACATTGCAAGAAGCTTGTTTTATTTTTAGTTATTGGCTTTATATTCATAATAAAAACTACCTTAGCACTGTTGAAACAGCACTAAATCATAATTCGAATATCTCGCGTTCCTTAATATATTACGGAAATAAATGTTGCGATCTCGAGTAAACTGCTCAATACTTTCTACCAGAATAACATATTTGCATGACAAACATTTTGGGATTATTTTCGAGTCACCGCAATATATGGCTGGTTTAAAATATGGAAAACACCGATCTGTTTCAACAGAAGGAAAAGCCAATTAAAATTTATTGAGTGCCACATTGGTTTATTGCAAGGTGACCAGAAAATTAAAGACAATGTTACGAAACCTTTTACCTTAACGAAAAATAAGTTGGCCGTGCATTTAAAAAGCGCATTATTAATTATTCAAGATATGTACATATGTATTTTGTTTATACAGAAGTGTTATTGAGATTTTGATGGTACTTGAACTACATATATTACGCACCACTTATAGAAATATGCATACCGAACTGTCACAATGTCTCGGCTTTAAATTAGAGTACCCGTAAAGTTCTGAAAGGACGCCCCCCCCCAAAATGGAGAGATAAATGGTGAAAAACACGGGGTGGGCTATTTTTGGGGACACCGCAGCAAAGATTTATCAAAAACTAATTATGAACACCTGGCTACAAACCACGTGACGCGGGAACTGATACTGCAGATAGCGGACACTACAAATTCGTGTTTCACAATGCGATAAACACGCGGGAATCCGCTACAAACTCCTGTGTCATGGGAGAGGATACCGCAGGTTGCGGACGCACCAAATTCGCGTTTCACGGTACCCGCGGAAACCCGCCGAGAACTCGCATCTCACGGGAACGAATACCGTAAATCACGGACGCGGCAGATCCAAGCTGTATGGTGCAATAAACCCGCGGGAACCCGCTACACACGTGCCTGTCACGGGAACCGATATCGCACGCGCAGGTCGCGGATAAAAACGCAAGAATCAGCTACAAACTCGTATGTTACGGGACCAACGCAGCGGAATCGTATTTCATGATGCAATATACACGCGGGACCAACTCGCGTGGAATCGTGATCGCGCGCGCAAATCGCGAACAAAAACGCGGGAATCTGCTACAAACAATAGGGAATTGTAGTACACCGTTCCCGCAGACCGCTAAGCACCCGGATAGCGCTCCGTAATCTGCCACAAGACCTTGAACTATGCAGACAAGGCTGGCGGTGCGCATGCGCAGCTGCGGCGTTTACTCCGGGGATACCGTAGCGGAGGAGAAAAACGATCTAGTACTACAACTCCCTATTAGGGAGTTTTCGTAGACCGCGCTGCCTCCTCCGCTAAGCGTTCCGCAACGAAGAAGTCGCTACTGCGCCTGCGCGCCGATAGCCTTGACTGTGGAGTTCCCGCTATTGTAGCGGATTGCGGAGGGCCTTGCGGGGCGGCGAAAACGATCTACGAAAACTCCCTATTATGTCACGGGAACGGATACCGCAAATTGCGGACGCAGCAGATTCGCATTTCTTTTTTCAGAGATAATAGTTGTTTATTTACAGTCAAGATAAACAACTATTCTCTCTCAAAATTTTCACATTTCACGGTGCAACATACATGCGGGAACAAGTCGCGTGTTACGGGACCCGATATCTCGCGCGCAGATCGCGGACAAAAACGCGGGAACCCGCTATGAACTCGCTTGTCAGACCCGCCGGTACAGTAAATTGCGCGGTTGATGCGAATCCCGTCGGACGTCGCATGACGTCGGACGGGGTTCGGGGGGTGGGCGATGTTTCGGAATTTTTATGTTACAGATATTTAGCCAGAAAGACGGTATGGGCGATCTTTCGGGATCGGGCGTTCTCTCGGAACTTTACGGCTAAGTAAAGCACTTCGAATTGTTTAACAAATTGATAGTCAGCATCAGTCAACTAGCAAAGAGCAATTTGGCGAATCTGCGAATAGCTCTCCGGAATTCTTGATGAAATAAAAATATCAAGCGGCACAAAAACGGTGTATATCTTGGTATCTTAAAGAAATTACAGGCCGCACGCCAAAACGTTGTGGCGTGCGACTGTTCTCTTATTAAAAAAACACAGCTACAAATGTATTTTGGAAGGTTTAGATTGAGTGCTAAAACAAATCAAATCAATCACCGAAATACAGTATCAATAGAGTTCAGGAAATAGATAAAATAAATACAAAATGCAGCCTTTGATCTCGAAACATCATTGTTACCACGTGCACGCGTACGGAAAGCAAGGACCTCGCGGTCGTAGTCTTCGCTGTTTTACACGTTATGATGAGAAACAATATAATTGCAATAGCAATACTCTAAAAAGCAAGGAACAACAAAAGGAAGGGGTGTTCGTATGTTTTTGTGTTGTCCGGCACTGTGCCAACGCAATTACAGCATCTTCAACGGCGCAAATGACGAAACGGACTTCCCGTCGTTGAGTTTCCAAGGAACAGGTTAAGCCAGGTAGAAACAAAATTTCACCAAAGAAAGTATATATACAAAAACTATGTGAAACGAAGCATGCACATGCACGAGAACCAACACCTGCAACGATAAATTTTGCGAGGCTGGATTACTGATTCGTGGTATGGGCATGAAATTACCATCCGAAAAAGCATATTTCCAACTTTGTGGCAAAAAACGTGGAATACTTTAGGATTCACTGAATCCCGTGTTTTTCTCGCGTGAGAAGAGCACGCGAGCACGGGCGAACGGTGGGACGAACCATTTCAAAACTGGCGGCGGTTTGCGCCTCTGCGCGCTACCGCAACGCGGCGCCACGTGCCGAGGCCAGCATGTTAGGAAGTAGATAATATGAGCCCTTTGAATCGGGTAAAGCGCTGGATGAATTTGAATTTTATAAACAAGTGCCACCAAGCTGGTGCTTACCGGGACGCACCTGATCCAGAAATGGCGGAGTGTCGCCGCCAATCTACAGCGTGCGCGAAATGGATTGAACGCGCATTAAACTGGCCGCATAAATCTAGCGCTGGGATTAACTACAGATGTGCTCGAAGCTGGTGCATTAATTAATTGAGAGTATGAATACATGAAACCTCCGGAGTCAAAAGAAATAAAATAAAAACTAGCTTTGTCTATGAAAAAATTATCGCTAGGCCTTTTATCTCAAAATCACCAGAAAATTGTTAAGGGCTCTTTTGGAGTATACTACAATCTAAAAATTCGTGAGAAAAAAAATAATTTACTTAACTATTCTTTACTTTATTTGGCCCAGATAAGCGCCACAGTTAACACCATATTTTTTTTTTTAATGTGCATGAAAAGTATAGGGAAAACAGTTTTTGTTTTTTCCTGATTTACTCAGGTGCTCCAATCTTTCCACAATTTTAGCGAAAGCATCCAACGTCAGGCACCTCTGTATAAGTAAATACTATTGGTCTACGGTAGACCAATAGGATCATCGAGCGTGCTCGCAAATGGCGGCGCATCAACGGCAGCCACAGCAGGCTAATAGGCCTAATAGGAGCGTGCACGTCTAGATGTGGGATGCGGCATGAGCCAGAAATGGCGACGCGTCGCCGGCATCCAATAGGAGCGCCCGCGGCACGATCAAACGATGGCGGTACTTGGATCAGTCAGAACACCCAGCGATTTAGAATCGGGCGGCTTCTTGCGCCACCTACCCAGTGTTTCCAATTCTAATAGTTAAATGTCATCTCCGCATTTTAAAAGTTTACGTTACGCCTTTTTAATCGAACCTAGCAGCACGTATACACCACACGGTCGTGATAGGGTTAACCTTCCTTGTTCCCATGGTCACGCATTAGAGGGCCTAGATGTAAGAGGGAGAGCAGCTCAAACCACGGACGCCGTTTTCAATGTTAAAGTGGACACCGCTGCGCTGATTGGTCTCAACTGCGCATGCGTTGTGTTGTTGCGTGACAAGGAGGAAAGCGGGCAGAGACGCGTGCAGGCGATCAACGCTTCTGTCATCTTCTCGCAGCCCGTATTGCAAAACACGGCCCACATACCACGTGATCATGATCGAGCAGTTGGAAACACTCTGAAATCTAGGCATATTAGACTAGAGAGTGCAACGAACAGCGACCAGCTTTGTTTAGTACATCTGTCTCCTCTATTGAACGAGCCGCCGCTCATTCAATAGAGAACGCAATGAAGCGAAGCATACGGTCACGTGGTCACGTTCGTTTCAAATCCCTCAGACCCAATGCGGTGCGTAGAAAACACGTATACATAACCGTCGCATCCATCAACTCGGGGAACCCGACTCAACAAACACACACACACAAAAAAAAAAACATAACCGGCGCCGAGACGAACATAAAACAACGACGGCGAAAACAATTCGAAGGAACAAAAGAAAGACCAGCCACGGAGTGTAATAGGAAGCAAACGAAGACGAATTGGAGGAACGCGGTTTGACACGTGACACGCCAGAGAGATTTATGAAGACCTACGAGGGCGACCCCGTCAAACGTCCAGGACCCGGTGTCGATGTTAGGGCGTTTTGATTAGTGGAAGCGCGCCACAACACACGAAGAGCAGAGCAACCAAACTCATAGAGGACAAAGGGAAGATGCATTATACTCCCGGATCAAGTTGAGGGCCACAAAGATCGCGGAGGAAAGAAAAGCGACAGCAGCGCTCGGTGAGGGTCCGTTGTGGACGGGTTTGGATCTCACTGCGTTATCTGGAGTTGAATGGCCAATATAACAGAAATGTTAACAGAAAAGCTATGTTATCAAGATGTATACATGGGCTCCCTGATACACTAATTTTTTTAAAGAACCATACGAAATTCGGGAGTGCTGTACTTCCTGCGCCACCGGAAATTCGGCCGGATCGTCTGCATGCTGGGCAAACGGGGAGCCCTCGCCAGGCGTTCGAGTCTGGCCTGCTAAAGTCAGCAGCCCCTGGGGGTCCCGCAAAGACTACCATCGACCGCCGCTATGCCTGACACTCTTCTTCGCCCTCTTCATCATCCGATTATCATCGTCATCCTTCACACGATTCATTTGTACTATACCATTTCATCATCATTAGAAGCGGCGCCGCGGCTGTCCTCAGTGTCCTGAACTAAAATAAATATATCATATCATATCGCAGTATGTGCTTGCGCACATGGGGCACTATCCAAGATGTCATGCCTGCAGTCATGAACAGATACTAGTTTAATCTCTAGCCACTCCAGCTGTCTTATCTAGGCACCGGCGAGGCACTCACTTGGAGGAGTTGGTAAGCGGCACATCCCCGTCCCTGGCGTACCACTCGGTGACGGCAGCTCCGTCGTACACGCAGTCCAGCCTCGCCGTGGCTTCTCGGCGCACCGTCACGTCGCCGGGCAGCACGCTGATCCGGGGCACGTTCTCGCCTGGGAAGCCGCATTTGTAGAGCAACACCAATCAGGATCCACACTCTCAAGAAAAAAGGGTGTCAAAAGGTGTATTCTTACACCCTTTGTCCCATATAATACACCCCAAAACTTCAATTCCACGTACAGTGCCCTACGGTCGAACAGAGGGCCCGAAATTTTACCAGGGGCTTGATAGCCGTGTGGTACAACTTAATAAAATAGCTAAAGTACGTATTAAAGACCATATAAAGAAAACCGAGTTTTTACAGAAGGGCCAAGAAAACCCGGATTATTTTTTTCGTGTTCAGTAAAACGTACATTAGCTATTTTAATAAGTTGTACAACACGGCTATCAAGCCCCTCGTAAGATTTCGGGCCGTCTGTTCGACTATAGGGCGCTGTATGTCGAATTGAAGTTTGGGGGCGTATTATATGGGGCAGAGGGTGTAAAATACACCTTTTGACACCCTTATTTCTTGAGAGTGCACCACACTAAGGTAGAGTCGCTATCCGGACCTCCGGATACCGACGAGTGCCGGCTATCGACTCCCGGTACCCGGCAGTCCGTATCCGTCACCGGGTCCGTAGCCGGTACCACCAACTGAACTCTCTGACGTCATGTCGCTGCGGTGGCGCTGCTGTCAGCACTGCGCATGCGCAGATGCTTCATCTCACGCGAATCTAGTTTCTACGCTGAATTGTTTGTAAAGAGGGTATGTTCCGCCTCCTGCACGCGCTAGTTAACTACCGCCGGGCTCTGGGACTTCGAAAGCGAGGGAATGGTATCAAAGCTACAAGGCTCGCGCTCGAAGCGAGGCATTGGGTTGTCAGTCTGTCACTGAGTAAAGGCCCAGATGTGCAAGACGGCCTTGATACGCATGTTTCCTGCAATTCATTTGGTGCAATGGAACAAAGAACGTAATGTTGAACTCTCCCTTCCAATTGCGTAATATATTGCAAAAAAAAAAAAAAAATGGGTCGCGAATTACTTAGCACGTGAAACGTTCTCCTAGCGATGCTAAACCGCTAACGCTACACCAAGTGTTTAGTGAAGTTTGTGGACTTAGTGTTATTTACAGTTAGAGTTAGATTTAAAGTTAGAGTTAGGGGTGTTAAGTCCACTTTACGCGTGTCAATTTTTCCGCTAAATTTAGCGAGAAACTGAATGTTCGTATAGGTCATGTGACATGGAGCCATGTGGCGTCATCTTCCCCGCTAACTTTAGCGGGACAATTCGCGGGTACGCTTTTTGAGGCTTCACTTCATCTGCGAAGCAATAGCATACAAACGTTTCGCGTTAAAAAGCTACCTCACAACGCTATGGCCCGTGTCGGACATCCCGAGGAGTTCAAAGCGGGCGCTAGCTGGCGTCGACGGGCCCCTGTGTCACGAGGCATTGTAGTCGCTGACAAAGTAAGAAACGGCAGGGAGGAACTACAGTTGTCCCGCCTCCGTCGCGAGCTTCCTGCCTTCGACAATGCTTCGGTTTCTCGGGCACTTCCAGGGCGCGCGCAACCCAAGCACGGCGGAAGGCATGGAGCGCGTAATGGAGGCCGGTGTGTTCGAAAGGCACGCTCTGCCGTTCTCATTCTGTCAGTGATCATAAAGGAAAATCGGCACATTAATACTTTAAACCCATGTTGTTGTAAAAAAAGAATCTCCAAATTTAGGTTTAAAACCATGCTTTTCGTGTAAGGCTTGCCAAATTATGAGGCGCTGGCGAAAACCAGTTCTTATTTTGAACTCTTTTTCTTTGCTTTCCGATGCATGCGGGAAGGGCCTCAGCACGCACCTTGTATTGTTGCGCCGCAGTGTTCTTCCGCAGCATAAAGCCCGTCTGCTTTCACCATTGTTGTAATGCTCCAGCGGACAAGCAGTTTCTGTGGCAAAAAGGCATTCGGCCCTTTTGCCACTGAGATCTCGATACCGTTCGCTCTTATCATTGGCTGGAACTGAGTCGAGGAAAGCCAATGAAATGAGGGAATGATGTCATGCGCCGATTGATGAACTGTTGTAATAGCAACATAAAAAAAAAAACCTTCTTTATTTTTTTAGAAAAAAAGCTCGACATTACTTGTTTTTTTTTTTTTTTTTTCAATGTCTGGACGGATTGGAAAGCCAATGAGATAAGATATATAGGTGTCACGACGCAGTGGACACGCAGCGAAGGGAAGCGTGGATAAGCTGATCGAATCGTTCAATGAAACCACGCTTCTTGGCCAGACGAACGCTCCTGATGTTGGAGTCTTTGCTGCGCTCTGTGCAGTGTTATCATCACGGTCACTTGCTTACACCACAATGATTCCGAAAATCTGGAGTTGGACGCAATCGCATTTCGTAGTCCTTCCATTGGCTCGTTCGCTTAACCTATCACAGCTCGCGATGGAAGAAATGCGACGGTCGTTCCGTCTCTCCAGGAACTGTTGAGTGAGTCTATATTCAGCAGCCCGTCTCTCTCTCTCTCTCTCCGTGGCACTCTTCGAGAGCGCCGTGCGAAACCAGTGTACTGGGACCAATTTCGTCTGCTTCGGCCCAAGGATGCCTCCGAGACGAAGTCCTCTTTTATGGATGGACTGGGTTTACGGTTTGCGTTTGCTTCCTTATTTTAGCTCGACTTTCAGTTGCCCAGAGCCGCGCCCCGTGGGAATGAAAACGGTTTCCGAGCAGGGAGAAAAAAGAAAGCATTCAGCGATGGTTTCTTCCCCTTCGCAAGTGATGGTCGTTCGATTTGTGCAAGCTTGCCGCTCTCCCGAGTTGATTTTTAATTTTTTTTTTATTCTTTGTATTACGTGTCTGCAAAAAATAAGAAAAGAAATTGACTTGTTTGGTTGGTACTATACTCGGCTGAAGGCCTCGGGGCGTTTTCGAGTGAAGTGACTCGTGGCGTTTGGGATGACTCCCCGCGCCACCGCGCGAGTTTTCCAGGAACCATTCCCAATCTATTTTTTTCCTCTCTCTCTTACTTTATCCTTCCCTTTCTCGTGTTCTCTTTCCCCTCTCTTCTAGCTGATTGGACGTGGCGGTTGCCAGCAATGAATCAGCAACCACGATCGCTGATTGGTTGCCGGAAATGATGTCTGCGATGAAACGACGTGAATACTGCCATGTCATCATCTATCGGTGGTGTAGGCTGACGTCCCTTGTTTTATAAAGATGTCACTTCCTAAACCATATTACAAATTGCAAAGCGTCTAGGAACGCGATAACCGCATCGGAACGATCTACCCAAACTCCCTATCGATGTCCTAAAGCCATTCTCACACTGCCAACACGTCATACAAGAGACGGCCTACAGACACAGCCTGAGACGTGCTTCTTGCTTCTACAAAGATCGTATTGGTCGTACAACAACTGTCTGAAGACATGTTTTAAGCACACATGTATACGAAGTCAACATGCTCCAAACTTGCTTGAGGTGCGTCCGCAGAATACTCCGTCACCATGTCTGCGAAGACACCGTGTCTTTTGTGTAGCGTATACGAACGTTGTGACTGCGAACCCCGTTGGTTGAACGGTGTGCACCACGGTGCAGTAGTAAGACCGGTTATAACGAAGTCGCTTATAACGAAGTCGCTTATAACGAAGTCGGTTATAACGAAATAGCAGCTACAGCAAAGCGATCACGATTCCCCATTCCATTTAGCACTTCGTTATAACCGAAATCGGTTATAACGAAATACCGGATATATCGAAGTGATTTCCGATTCCCGTTGATTTCGTTATAACCGGTCTCGACAGCAGATATTCCTTCGGATCACTCACCCTCGAGGACCAGGGCGAAGTTGGTCTGGCTGTCCACCTTCCCGGCCTCGCTGGTGGCCCGGCACGAGTAGATGCCGTTGTCGGCGGCCGTCAGCGACGCCAGGTGCATGCGACGACCGCGGAATGACAGCCGCTCGCTGCGGAACAGTCGCACGCCGTTGTGGAACCACTCGAGCTGAGGCTCCGGCACGCCGTCAACACGGCACCGGAGCGACAGGTCGCCGCCGGGCGCCAAGTCGGCCGGGGAAGCGGGGCTCTGCAGCTCTACGGACGCCTGGTCGCCGATCCCTGAGGACACCCAAGGGACAAAGGAGACGGTGTTTAACATAGAATAAATGCATCTCAAATGGAATCCCCTAATTCGGGAAATTGTTCCCTTTTTCCGTACCCCGTGCACTTTCCCGCTAAATGTAGCGGAGAAATTGACGCCGCGACATGAGCTCATGATATCGCGTGACACAGCGACCCTACCGTCACGTTACCATGTCGTGTGACGTAGATGTTCCGCTAACCTTTGCGGGGAAAAGGACGTCACATGACATGGTCACACGGAAGTGAGCCCTGGTGTCACGTGAATGCATAACGTCACGTGGCGTCAATTTAACCCGCAAAATTTAGGGGGAAAACTAATAAACTATATATTCATCACTCCCCGAAATTACTGCTAAATGTCTCCTCAACATTCCATCAAGTATAAGACTCTGCAGATAAAAGTATCTCCAACTTTTGCATTTAACGCAAAGTTGGGCTACACGGTGAGTGTTCATAGTGAAAACAGCGCGAATAGAAACGAGAGCGAGAGGAGGGAACGGATTGGACCAAGAGCTGACTTTGTGTTGCTTTAGTTCGGTCTTGTACCCTTGTCTCCTTACGTTCTTGTTTACACTCACGCCGTTTCCAGCCCACTATGGATACGGCCATCAAACGACGCTGACAAGCACGCAACCAACTGCGCGCAGCACATACTTCTATGTAACGCGTTCCTTGTGGCTCGCTACTTTATTTTTTCGATAACGACTTTTTTTTTTTTACTTTTCGCAATCAGGACCGAATAACATGTCTTATAAAGTTATAATACTAAGTTTTTGCAAAAAAAAAAAAAAAAAATAATAATAATTGCTGCGAATTTTTTTTTAATTATAGCATCTTTTCCGATGTTTGTATAATCGGGAAGCTGACGCACGTCGGTCCCCAGTGCGCGTGCGCAAGCCGCCTCCGGCTCTTGCTAATCAAAGCCGACCGAAGCGTCCCTCCCTCCTCCCTATTCAGGAGCGGGGCCCGACGAGGGGTCCGTGCGTCGAGGCCCAGCACGCGGTCCTGACATTCACCGACACGGGTCATATTTTATCGGCGGGCAAAAAGCGGCCGGACAGTTGGGGGAAAATTACCCACCCTCTCACCATACCCTTTCCCCGTATTCCCCATTACATTTTGCCCTCTCCCCTATTCCCCATCCACCTTAACTCACCGGTTCCCCAGATTTCCCCTTTTTTTCTTCTCACCTTCTTGCTCACCCTCTTTCCCTCGTGCAAGGTTACATCGTACGCCTTCCCTATTTCCCTTCGTTCTTCCTAGACACAACCTTTTCCTCCTTCCTTTTTCGCTTTCTATCACTATGTCAGAAAACTACCCTTTCCCCGTATTCCCCATTACATTTTGCCCTCCCCCATTTCCCCATCACCTTGTACCCTTTCCCTATATCTAACTCACAGGTTTCCCCAGATTTCCCCTTTATTTTTTTTACCTTCCTGCTCAGCCTCTCTCCCTCGTGCAAGGTTACATCGTACGCTTCCCTACTTTCCCTTCGTTCTTCCTTAGGCATCACCTATCCCTCCTTTCTCTTTCGCCCTCTATCACTATGTCAGAAAATTACGTGTTCCCTTTTCATTTATATTTTTCTTTCCCCGGTATCTCACCGCCTTTTTCCTTCTTCCCCCGCAGATAATTTTCTTTCTCCCTCCATTTCGTTTCACGAGTCCCAGATGGCTATCAACTGACCCACCCTCCCGAAGCTCTACAGCTCTCCCACCATCCCCTTTCCAGGAACTGTTAACCTATAAATTACGTCGAAAATGCGAAAATCGAAACGTAAAAAATATATAAATATATAAAAATGGAAACGGTGGAGGTAGTCTGGCGTATATCGGTGTGAGTCATCTGACAACCCCAGGGTCTGGCGGGTTGCCAGACGTTTTCGGTACGTGGGTAGCGAGCGGACTGGGCCCCAACTCCCTTTTCCCGAAATTTCTGCAAGAAAAAAAAAAAAAAAAGGGAGGCGAATGATGTGGTTGCGTAAAACGAGATACGCATAATGTGTACTGTTTTAAAAACGTATACATATAAAAAAAAAAATAACAGGCGAGCGCTTTTTTTTTTATTTCTAAAATGTCGTTATTCAGCGAGTTTGCAAGAGAGAGTTCCGATTACGCTACGTTCCACGACTACGTCCCGAACCTGTCGAAATACAAATTCGGCCAGACTCGGTATTTTTTTTTTTTTTATTTGTAGCTCGAAGTTTGACAAAAGTTCGATTATTACGTATGCTCGTAAATTAACAAGCTGCACCGCCTGGCGACTGAGGGGTGCAGCATTTGAAGAAACGAACTAAATTAATTAAAGCTTATATGCTTTATTTTTATTCCGTAAACAATGACAAATATTCTGTAAAACTTAAAATAAGCCATTAAAAAAAAAAGGAAAAACACATTAACTTTTGATTATAATGCAATTCAATGCAAAGGTGCAAGCGAGCTGGACAAGAATGACGGAAGTAATCCCTGGAGAAGGGGAACAAGAGGGACAAGGGACAAAAACAAATCTCCAACCGCGACCAGTTTCGGTCCCGCACCAGTCACCTATAGCTGTGTTTGGAGATTCGTGTTTATCCTTTGTCCCTCTTGTTCCCCCTCTCCAGGGATTCTTTAAGTTTTCTAGTTCTTTGTGCGTGTGTGTGTTTGTGCAACTCTGTTTATGTAGTCGAACTTCGTCGATTCTTGCGAAGTTCGAAGGTTCCTCCAACCAGTTGAGCCGCAAGGTTGGACAAAAGTTGGCGTTTCAACTATCTTCCTCGAAAACCAACAATGGCAGGATTATCTCTCGGGAGCAGAAGAAGCGCTACAAGGCAGCCACAGGAGCGCGCAATCCGCTTACATGAATGCGCTTACAAAAAACACACTAAGAAACGCCACGAATGACGTCATAATGATGTAATAGATGAAGGGCAGGGGAGGACCATGCAGTTTCCGACCCCCAGCTGCCGTTTCACGCCTCAAGCAAGTTCGACGAAACACGTGGTCCTCCCGGTCATACACACCCTGGTCCTGACGGAGCCTCGACTCGGGACTTCGTGCTCCCGAAGCCGCACACATCTATAATACATACGTCGAAAGGACATTGAAATAACGTCAACGGCGTTCGAAACCGCACGCCGAAAGATTGTGACGAAGGGTCTTGACTTTACGTTTATTTGACGTTCATGGGATATTAACATGTCCGCGAGATCAGCATCGAAAGTACGCCGCCGAATGACGGTACAGTGAACGTGATACGTGCGTCATAAGTTGACTAGCGTCCAGCTTGCGACGTTATATCGACAGCCATTAGACGTCAATGGAAGAACCTGAATATTAAGACCCGTTCACACTCTTGCAACCGATTACGACCGAGAGAGACCAGACCGGTTTTTAAGCCTCTTGCGATCTCTTAGGACCAGCCCCGCTGCAGCGCATCCGGTCCTAAGAAAACCGGTCTGGTCTCTTTCGGTCGTACTCGGTTGCAAGAGTGTGAACGAGCCTTTAGAGTTTATTTTTATTGCTTTATTCTTCTTTGTTTCTTTTTATTTTGTAAACGAGCTGTTTCTTTTTGTTTTGTTTTTTTCTTTCCCATCTTTAATTTTGTGTCTAAGTTTCTTCAATAACAAAAATAAAATGGTGAAGGTAAGAAACGGAGATATTCACGAAGAAAACCGCTTTTTGTCAAAATCAAGCCCTCCTCCACAGCACTACAGATTCCCAATAAACACACATTTTGCGTGTTTCTCCGTGTTCTGTATTCAGGTAAAAACGTGGTCAGGGGTTCTTTTGTTTGGCGTTTTCTGCGAAAGCCTTAGGTACGTTCCTTTGTTGACTTCGTTGCGAGGAGGTACCGTTGTGTATCTGAAGACGAGGATGCGAAACAAATTACTTGTTTAGTTTAAAACACTGTATCTGTGTGTCCGTTTGTTTTTGTTTTTTTTCTCCTTTTTTTCGGGTTGAAGTATGTTCCCAAGTCTTGGGTTTCATCAGTGTTGACGCTTTCATTATCAAATAAATGATAAACTATTTCCTCCCCTTTCCTCTCCTTCCTTCCCACTCCCGTCATCCCTCCTTCAGACGACCGGCCTTCCGCATCGGCACGGGCAATCATGAAACGCCGGCGTTCCGGCTAAGGGCAAACAAAGTCTCCGTCGCCCAAACCCAATTAGTGGTAGCGGTAGTCAGAGCAAGCGGCGGTGGTGCTAGCACGTTGACGGTACTGGAACAGAGCGAGGGGGCAAGGGATTTTCGAGCGCTATAATCCTCTTAATTCCCTTCCCTAAATCTTCCCTGTTTCCTCTCTCTCTGCCTCCCTTGAAATATGTCCGGAGTTAATCGGGGGAAAGAGTCCGTAATAAATCGTCTGGGGAAAAGGGGGAGGGGGGAGCATGCGTATTACTAAAGCCCCTGAGATCGAGCTTCGAGAAAAAACGAAAAAATCACGCGCTCTATGTTTTTTTTTTTTTTCATTTTGCGGTTTTTGCGTGTGAAAGAGTAACTAATAAGAGAATGCACTGCTGAGAAAAAAAGGCGGGGGGGGGGGGGGGGGGAGAGAATAGAGAAATAGGTACTTTTATAGTTCCGGGCAGTTTCACAAATACAAGGCGACCTCAGAAATTTTAGTATATCACCCCGGAGACAATGAGGTTGCAACATTGGCCGATAAGAACGCTTAAATACCAAATCGGAAGCAGGAAGCGTGCACCCGTCTCAAAACACTCCAACCACGAATCGCAGGACCGTTTTATTTTTTAATTTTACAAATTTATAGCTAATAAAAAAGTTTAAAAAAAAGCGAGCGGATCGCGCTCCAACGGTCACGCAGGCAGTGTCAGTGGCAAAATGACGTCCACCCATTTTATTATCAATTTATTATTTGATCCTCTTTCTTTTTACAACCTGTAACCACGCCGGTATTCTTACAGGAGTGCGGAACGCACGCAACAAGACACGCGAACATACCACACAGACAAGATAAAACAAGGTTATTCTGTC